GCGGTTACTCATTAAGTTATCAGTGAGTCGGCGGACTTTATTCATAGTACATGTACATATAGCCGAACAAGACGGTGTCTCTGAGAGCTACATTACACGTTTATCGGTCTGTTCTGGATGACCACAGTCGCACACTACGGAAGAGTTTTAATTTTCAAATTGTGCATAAAGTTTCAGCATCTAAAACAAATGATTTGTATTTTACCAGGTAAGGCCCACTGAGCTATATAGCTCTTTTTAAGAAGCGACCTGGCCACAAATGATAGCCCAATGAAGTGGCTTATCACGTGGATATTTCGAGCAGCAAAATACTTTAACGCATGTTTATAAATGAGGAGGGAAAACGAGATTACGGGAAGAACATGCAAACTCCAAATGTACGAGCATCAGGGTTGGGATCGAACTCACGACCTCCTGTATACCAGGCGAGGTAGTTCACATCTCGCCACCGTGGCGCCCCAGCTGCACACCAGGCAGCCAGCAAAACTCTTTTGCTCATATCGTGTGACACTGCCAGCGAAGATTGCCCTAACTTTAGAAAATCCACGCGATCACGGGGAGAATAAGCAAACTCCAAATATACAGCAGCAGGCGTCAGGGTCGGGATCGAACCCACGACCTCCTGTATACCGGGCGAGGTAGCTAACATTTGTGCGGATGCGGTTTAGGGTGGACCATGAGCTTCGTGGAAGCTAAAAAAAAAACCCGGGAATCTTCCGCGTTGGGTCTTTCACAAGCCCATGGGTCACTACAAAGGACTGGAGCCAAAGGGTCGTGCTGCTGCGGTCCTGTGTGAAGCACACCTCTGTGCCACGCGAACTCACCTCTCGATGTGAAGCTTGAGAACTACCCTGGAGTGCAGGCTCTTCCGTTATCAGTTGCACGAGCTAGAACATTACCTTTTTTTTACGACGCATATGCGCAACCTCACGGACGATTTTGGCACAATCTCAACTCGTAGAAGCAATTCGGAGATAAATACCAGGTAAGGCCCCAACTGAGCTACGACATGGCCACAAATGATAGCTCAACGATGTGGCGTATAATCATCACGTGGGCAATTCATTGCAGCTAAATACACGGAATGCATGTTTCTAAATGTGGAGGGAAGATCCGGAGAAAAGTCCACGCGAGCAAGTGGGAAAAACTCGCAAACTCCACATATACAGGCGTTAGGGTTCAGGACCGAATCCCACGACCTCATGTACAACAGGCGAGGGAAATAACATTTCGCCACACAGCCACAGTAATTCTGGCGCCGTCTGTTTACAATATAAAGGGCTCAATTGACCCACGCAAGCAGCTTCTCTAAAGATTTCCACTAGTTTTAAAATATATATCGTCACGGCCACGTCGTGTGAACTCGTTCGCGTTACAGGCCCAAAAAGCCACGCGCGTAATTATTGCTCGATCCATTCCCCACGTGGAATTACGAGGGGGCGAGTCGGTGCATTTAACATTCAATACAATGGGCTAATTCGCATTAGCAAAGTGTAAACAAATTGTTCATCCTCCCAAACACATCAGTAATCATGATTTGGGGCCATAATCACGCGGAGAGGCTTAGCCTGCGGGGCGCCGACGCTTGTTAATTATTATGGATTTTTCTCGGCGTTAACTGCCTTTCGGCAGAGTGCATTTCGGAATAATCCGATTTCTTCAAATTGTGTTTAGCAAATGTGCAATCAATATGGAAGATTTGATTTCGCGAGCACTTTAATACGTTGCGAAAAGGCTAATGTACAAATAGAATCTCATTGGTCATGTCTGATTGTGTTTGAGTAGTTGATAGATTAACCCGGGCCAGGGATGTGCTTAATGTAATGAACGGGCTATTGGGCTCGGCGCGCCTTGCTGGAATATGAAGAAGAAAAAAAACGAATTAAACAATAAAATAAAAACAATTTATAATGATTTTGCCACGAGTGTTTGTGCTGCGGATGGGAAAGTCAATTAAACGTTAATGTACCTTTCCCCCCCCCACACACACCACCACACACGAACGGCTAAGCCCCCCCCCCCCAATTGTTAATGTCGTCATAACCCACCCCACCCCCCCCAATTGTATCCTCATTGCGAGGGATTGAAACGTCACGAGAGGATGAATCCATTCGGAAATCCTGCAGAGCGGCGCGACTCACGTGCTCGACAACGAGACGTCGCTTTCTCCTAAATATAATATATATACAGCGCGTGCATCGTGTGCGGGGCGGTCCAGATGTCCTGTTACCCCGAATTAATTGACCCCTGACATTTTTTTTCCTCTGCTTATTAATTTCTTGACTTAAAGATTTCGCGGCTGCAGGAACTCATATTCTTTCGGTCTTTCAAGTAAAGTTATGCAGAAAGGTTCAAACAACCTATCTGCATGAGATTATTAATTTCTGTTTTAACTAAACCTTACTTTAAAAGTGTTAGAATTAAATTGGGGGGGGGATCACAAGACATCTGGACCATCCTGTTGCGCCTCCACACGATCCGATTTCGTCGCTCCATCTCCGCGGTGGTCGTCACCCCTTTCTCAGTCGTATTCTCTCCTTTCGCTGCGACTCCATTGATAGTCTCGAAAATTAAACAAATTGTGTTTAGTGCTGATGAAACCTTTACAGAACAGAGGCAGTGGTGAAAATTCCACATTTCTATAGTCAGGGCGAGTGTATATATAGGACAAAACCACCGTTGACTTCCTTACAAAGTGGTACTAATTTTATCGGACCAGAAGTGATGGGCTGAGCGAACTCCCCCCCCTCCACCTCCCCAAATCAGGATTTTAACTCAACATTCCAATAAACCATCTGTCTGGCTGGTGGGACGATACGGGGTTCGAACTTTACTACGTTGTACTCAAAGGCCAACAGCATTGAAATTAGTTGGTGCAACCAAACTGGAGTTCTCCAACTCGAATTTTAAAAATAAAAAAACACAATAACCCCAACACAACTCCCTTCATCCTCCCGGTGTTAATTTCGGGAGCAGCAAGGCGCACCGCAAAGACAGGTGCGGGCAATTAGTGGCGCTATTATTAATCATCTCGTACGATTGGCAATAACCTTCCGACTCATCTGAAATAATGAGACGGCCGAGTTGTTCGCGAGCCCTGTACAACAGACACGTGCAAACATCAATCCCGTTTTTTTATATTGGTTTTTCATGTTTTATCAGTGAATTCTCGTGTTATGGAGCAGACACGATATCGATTTAGCAAGGGCGCTCGAGCACACAGAAGAGGCATTCATACAATAACGATAAGGCGCACGATTTGTATGAATGGACGCCGCGTGCGGAGACGTAGGGGGGACATCACCGGCTCATGTGTAGGAAGCCACGCTGGGTGGAATGCACTGTGGCATCGCGAGAACGCGACGGACGGCAACGGATTGCGTGGCAAGGGCTCCCTCCAGCAGTGGATATATCACAGCTGCTGCTGCTGATGATGGTGGTGATAATAAATGTCTTTAACATTTTAAATATGGAATTAATGTAATGGCGTAAATCACATTCTGCTATAGCACACTGCAAGTTATGAACGTCGCATTCATAATTACCAAATTGAATAAAGCATTAATGTCGCCATGAGGTATACAGATGACATTTTAAACCAGATAATTGCCCATTGGGCCAATGATGAAATCACCCGGAATGCGAACTTATCTCGTCAGATCCCGGAAGCTAAGCTGAGTTCAGCCTGGCCAATGCGCAGATTGGCAACCACCACACGCATGTCATAGGTACTATAGGCTGCTGCGGGATTATGTGATGGGAGGCAGAGTGAAGTGTAGTAAAGTTAATTCCCTTGTGCTTCTATGCCTCCCAAGGCTCTACTGTCAGGCCTTTACCAACCCGCACTGACTGCCGGTGTTTGAATCGAAAAATCACACGAACTATTTTTTTTTAAAAATGACAACACAAAAAAGAGTATAGATATGAATATAATTACACATTGTGTAGCATAACAATACACATGTAATATAGAGAGTACATATGATTGTGATCATACATATGGATGTGATCAACAATCAGATATTACAGCGTTCTAAACATTGTAAGTCACTGAATATCCAATTGCGACACAGGCAGAAACTGAACTTTCGAACGTCTAGTTTTTGGAAACAAACAATAATCATTTTCACCGGTACGGTATTATAGGGATCGTTCACACATTCTGCATAAGCCATTGCATCCCACTGGGATTTTTGCACACAGCGTTGAAATGCGGTGTTTTTTTTCTGGAATATTTTGCTGTTTTTTTTTAATATGATTTTTCTGTTGCGTGTAGGCACTTTAAGATGTTTTCTTGTTCGTGTTTTTTTGTTTTGTTTGCGGTTGCACCCGAGTCAAGAGTCGCATGGCTCACAGGGTTATATCTAATTAATGAAACTAATAATCAAATGAAACTAATCCATCCCACGTGACATGCAGATTTCCATAGCATTCGGACTCATCAGAAGCGCACTGCTGCAACACTGCCATTGAAGTCTACCAGACACTCCCTTCTCTATACAGCCGCTATGTACGGTGAGATAAGGGGCCGCCCATAAATGACGTCATGCGATTTTGGACGAATTTTGACCCCCCCCCCCTCTCCTCGTCACACGGCGTCACAAAAAGTCAGACCCCCCCTCAAATATGACGTCACAAAGCTCTGCCCCCCCAAAAAATATATATATAAAACATGCTTCAAATCGCTTTAAACTATTGTCATTGTAGTGCGTTATTTAATGTGGCGCTGCACTCTGATGTTGTAGGAGAACACATTTATTAAAAAGTCTATTTAATTAAGTAGAACGTGTTGTCTATATTTATTTAAAGTTGCGCATTTTGATGTGACGTCACATTTCTCAAACCCTCCCCCCCTCGTCACACATCGTCACAAATGTCTGACCCCCCCCCCCAAATATATGTGCGTGACGTCATTTTTGCTTTAGCAAAAAATATATAGAGCAATAAAAGTCTACATTTAAAATGCAATTACCGTATCCGAATCCTTGTTTAAAACAAAGGGCATTGAAAGTAAGCACAGTGACGTCATGGGTAAGCCCCCCCCCGCCCACGTGTTCCGGTGTCAAGCCGGAAGCAGGAAGTGGAGGCGCCCACGTGTAGCCATGGAGGCGGACGCGTGGCTGCTGGAGTCCATCCTCGCGTAAGGAAAACCGCGACATTGTCATCATCAGCGGCAGCAGCATCATCATCAGCGGCAACATCAGCATCATCAGCGGCAGCAGCATCATCATCAGCGGCAGCAGCATCATCATCGGCAGCAGCAGCATCATCATCAGCGGCAACATCAGCATCATCATCAGCGGCAGCAGCAGCATCATCATCAGCGGCATTGTCAGCGTCATCATCATCAGCGGCAGCAGCATCATCAGCGGCAACATCAGCATTATCATCAGCGGCATTGTCAGCGTCATCATTAGCTTCAGCAGCATTATCATCAGCGGCATTGTCAGCATCATCATCAGCGGCAGCAGCATCATCATCATCAGCAGCATTATCATCAGCAGCAAACAGCATCAACAACATCAGCAGCAGTATCGGCAGCAACAATATAATCAGCAGCAACAACAGCAGTATCAGCAGCAGCAATATAATCATCAGCAGCAACATTGCCCTCTCCATCAGCAAGCACCAGCAGTCGCAGCGACAGCTGTCTTAGTTCCCACTGTTATAATCGTAGTGTGAGTAACGCCATCGTCATTGTCATCAGCAGTGTCGTCTTCTTAGTTAACACCCTCGTTGCCTTACCTGTCATCACCACATCATCTCAATTCAAACATTCATACTCAGCATCATCACCATTCATCTTGGTCACATTAATTGTGAATCATTTTACCGACAGCCACTTCTGGATAAAACATTATTTGGTGATGCTGCTGCTGCGTTGGCAGTAGTGCACTATGATAACACGGTGTAGCAATTATTATTTTTGTTCCTGGGTAGTAAGTGTTATATCCTAATTGCTTATGCCTCAAAAGTACAGAAAATGGCTATCATTCCCCACAAACTCTGCTTTAGTGACCAGGACAGTGATATTTTGAAATGTACCCATTTTCAATGAGAAAACGGGCGAATGCGTGTCTTTTCGTTCACATAAAGTCAGAAAAAACAACGTTCATCAAAATTAACATGTATTTATGCTAAAGTAATACAAAAATTACTACAAAAGATTTAGACATTAAGGCGCACTACCACAGGCGGGACTGGCCACAGCGGACAGAGTTCTCTGTGGAGAGGAACAGCGTCAAGTGGGAGCCACTGGTGGATCCCCGGAAGGTTCTGATCCCACCACTGCTCGTCAAATTGGGCCTCGTGAAACAATTTGTCAGAGCTGTAGATAGATAATGAGTCGGCAGCCTTCAAGTATCTTCAAGACTTCTTCCCTAAGCTGTCTGAGGCAAAGGTCAAAGCCGGTGTCTTTGTCGGACCACAGACAATGAAGATCCTGGAGTGCAATGAATTCCCCAAGAAGCTCACTAGTAAGGAGAAAGCGGCTTGGAACAGCTTTGTCGCGGTGGTTCGTGGCTTCCTGGGCAATCACAATGTCTAAAACTATGTGGAGCTGATTGAGACTCTGAAGAATTACGGCACAATGGGCTGTAGGATGTCCCTCAAAGTCCATATCCTTGATGCTCATCTTGATAAATTCAAGAAAAACATGGGAGCGTACTCGAAGGAAGAAGTCGAGCGCTTCCACCAGGATATACCAGACTTTGATCGCAGCTACGAAGGACAGTATAACGAGAACATGATGGGAGACTACATTTGGGGGCTGATTCATGAAAGTCGTTTACAGTATAAGCATAAATGTTGAAAAACTACTCACTTCTAAATCTTTTGTAGTCATTTTTTTATTACTTTAGTATACATTCATGTTCATTTTGATTCATGTTTTTTTCTGACTATATGTGAACAAAAAGACACATTCGCCCGTTTTCTCATTGAAAATAGGTAAATTGCAAAATATCACTGTCCTGGTCACAAATCAAAGTTTGTGGGGAATAATAGCCACTTTCTATACTTTTTAGGCATTAGCAATTACGAAATAAAACTTACCAACCAGGAACAAAAATTGTGGTACAGAGTGTAAGTAACTAAAAACGTTTCGTGCGATGGCCTTTCACAGCACAGAGGCCAGAGAGGTGGAGGCAGATTTGCCTGCGTGCTATGAAGGAGAGGGCCCGTTTCCTGAAACGTCTCCCATCGTTTCCTTTTGATGTCGCGTTATTGACGAAAGCGTTGATGTCTGGATATAGATTTCCCCCGGAACTGTTGCCACCGGCTCTCGCAATCCTGCGATGTAACAGACCGCCTGGCGGCTAGCACGCGAGCTGATTCCATCTCTCCACCCCAACGCTGGATGTGTCTCGCGTGCCACGGTCATGCCCCCTTGCGGCTCTCTCTCGCCAGAGGGCGCCACCCGATGTCGCTTGATGTGCCCCACTGCTCAACAAAAGTCGGGACCCACCGTAGCCCTTGCACGGTGGGCGGAAAAGTCCCTATATCCGCACTGTCTGAAAACCTGGTACGGGTTCAAGCTGTGTGGGTACTTACCGCTCAAACCTGTGTTGTATATTGTATTTGTGAAGAGTCGCGATGCAGTGTTTGAATGACCGGATGAATATCGTATTGTCTGGATGGCAAGACGCATCTTTTACCGCTGCGTGTTTAAAGAAAATGTTGCGGGTGCGTCTGATAATCCGATTGGTGTGTGTGTGTGTCCAGATGTGTATAACTTTGTTCACAGCGAGTACAAGTTTGGCGGTGCGTTTCATTTTTATTTAGTGAACTTTGACAAATCCTTTTCCTTATTAGGGAGCTATACTATGCAATTTTTTTTATACTAGGGGTTGTTTCGGGGGCACCTATGGCGCCCCTCGCAACCATTTACGATATTCGACGAAGAAAATCACGAAAAAAATTGCACACGAACGACGCATTCACGCGAGCACCCGATGCTCCGTTTTGACGTTTTAAAATGAAACATCTTTGAATTGTATTATGTTTTGAATTAGATAATTGTGTTTCTTCATTAAAAGCTTATGCCATTTTACATCTGGAAGACTTCATTGAAAACGACATTTCGTGTGAATTTTCTCTCGTCGTTAAGTAAGATGATGGCCTTGCTGGGGGTTCGGTTCGATGCGGACTTTCACCTGTTTGGGATTGCGGGATCGAGATAAGGCGACACAGAGCTGCTGGCCGTGCGAGAAGACCGCCGTCTGCAGATCGATTCCAACGTAATCGAACGTCTGTTCCTGCGCCTCCGTCGTTCATGCAGGGGGTGCGTGTAGATTTGCAGCGCCCCCTGCAGGAAAACGACGGAAAGTGCAGCGTTCATCACAGATGAAGTTGCGCGCTTATATAAGAGTATACTATTGAACTTACCGTGATTGTGTATGGACACAGCTGGGCGTATATAATTAAATTGTGTGTCGACATTGTTATCCCAACGGAATCTCGCTGCAGATTAGTCCTGTTGTCCAAGGTTTCATTGCAGCCGGAGCTGTCCAGGGCTGAACTCCGGAAAATTTTATTTTGTCGTTTGTTGGAGAGTGGGGGGTTATATGGGTCCGGGGGAGTTGGAGGTTGGTGCTTTGGAAGCCCCGTAAAATGTTCCATGAGAAATTATACCCCGGTCCTATCTCTATGAAATTATACTTCATGTCAACCATTCGCCTCTCAGTGACATTATTGCACGTTCAGAACCACACCTCTGCGAACTCCCATTGCATGTTAATCATATCCCTATACAACCCTACTGCGTGTTAGCAATAATAATAATAATCAGCCACGATTACTCCGCCGCTGGATGATCTCCTCAAGCCGTCGCCGTCTCTCCCGATGCTGCGATGTTAACGATCCACCCGGCACCTGCACACGTGCAGACCCAACTGAGACTGGCTTGATGACGACACGAGATTGGTGCCAGGATGATGTTGCACTACTTAAGCATGTTGTGCACAAGACAGAGGAAAGTAGAAACACATTACAAAATGTGCAGTTGACACCTACGAGCTATCTGCCCATGGACCGTGGTGGTGATGATGATGCTGCTGCTGCTGCTGCTCCTACTCGCGTTTAGTTAAATGTCCGGTGCCATCCGCGCACCCCCGTCTTGAGCCCTTCGCTGAACATCCGAAACTTCGGATCGATTGATCGACCGAGTCTGTGGATTTCACGACGAGCATCGTGACAGGTGGAGAGCGAGCCGTGCAAAGGGCTACGACTGCAACGCAATCGCTCGCGACCTCTCGCGCCGGCCGTGACCTCTGCGTTTGCGCCGCGTGCCCATGTCCCCACAGCTACAAGGAGCTGCACATGTTCGATCTGCAGGAGCCCACGAGGACCATTGAGTGGGTGGACGACAACAGTGAGTCCGACTGCGACGACGGGGGACCGCGCACGTGCGTGTGCGCGTGTTAAACTTATTTCGCATCATATATAGCCAACCGTGCTAATGATGTGAAGGAGAGTGTGCGACGACATTTCTCCCCGTTAATTCACGCTCCCTCTAGTTGTTTTTGTTTAGTCTTCCCCCGCACCTCTGATTAGCACGGTTGGCTACGTATGGCGCGAAAGAAGTTCAACATACATATTCGTCCTCTGCTCAGTCGCAGGTCTCTGGCCCAGTCTCCCTCCACCCTGTCCGATCTTGAGCTCCCTTCTTCGTCTCACTGTGTGGTCCCACTTCAATCGTCGAGCCGACATCCTTATCTTAGATTCATAAAGCGCCTTTGTCCAAGGCGCTTTGTAATAATTATCCAAATTGTAAATTCGATGGTAGTGGTAAACGTCAAGAGTGGGGTTATTACAAGTGGTGGTGGAGCTATGGTGACAGTAAGGAGGACAGGTGGGAGTGTTTGGGAAGGAGTAGTGATAGGGGTAGTGACAGGGGTTGGGGTGGTGATAGGGGTAGTGATAGGGGTTGGGGTGGTGATAGGGGTTGGGGTAAGCCTGCTCATAGCTGGGAAGCCGGGGCAGGGAGTAGCCGTAGGATAGGCGAGGGAGAAGAGATAGGGGTTGTTTTAAGGGGGGAACGGAAGATGATGAGAGTTAAGATGATCGCTCTGTGTGCCGCAGTGGGAGTTGGTTCCAGTGAAGGGGAGCAAGACGGGAACAGGAGCGAGAGCGCGAGACCGGGCGCAGGGCGAGGGAGGCACAGAGAGGGAGGGTAAAGACTGGGAGCTTAGAGGACGGGATGCGCCTGTTGGCTGCTTTACCCACATCCTTACAGAAAACTTCCTTTATAACCTCTGAGAATGTGCCCAATGAACACCTGTCACCTTGCCTCGATCGTTCCAGTCAGTCTTCTCTTCTCCTGAACGGGCTCTCGAACTTCATCGCTTCTCCGTCGCTCCGTCCACCTGACCTCCATACGACGCCACAACCTTCGTCTGTGCTGTCAACGTGACGGTCCAAACTTGCCATGTTTGGGAAACGTATTGCGGTAGTCAACACTTAGCAGGAGCCTCTTGAAAAAGCGTGGAGACTCAGCGAGTCTTGCCTGCGTGCAGAAAGTGTTCTTAATAATGACATTAGAACTAAAGAATGAATCCGCGTGCTTTCCACGCGTGGGGGGGGGGGGGGAATGGCCCCTCTGTGTGTTTGAGGAGGCCAAGACATGTCTTGTCCGTCCGCCAGGCGTGTGCGTCGCCGGATTCAACTCGGAGAAGAAAAACGAGATCCTTGAGCTGGGGCTGCCACAGAAACTCCTGCCCAAGGAGAAGCAGGTATGACCAGACAACAACCAGACAACAACCATCACAACGAGTTGCATTCATCTTGCACCCGTAACAAACATCTCAAAGCGCAGTAGGGGGGTTTTTTTTGTCCTGCCCCCCTCCCGGGATGGCAGCTGTCCCTGCGTGGTACAATGTGGTACACAGAGCCGGCCTGCGGATTTGGCATTTTTCTGGCAGTAGGGGGAGATGATGTTGCTGTTGGGTGCCACGGTGGCGAGATGTTAACGACCTTGCCTGGTGTACAGGATATCGTGGGTTCGATCCCGACCCTGAGGCCTGCTGTATATTTAAAGTTTGCACGTGATCCCCCTGGTCGCGTGGTCCTCCAGTTGTCGCTTGAAGAAATCTGAGAAGTAGCTCTGCAATATCCGCTTCCGCGGGCCGTTTTCCCCGCGCGAAAGGGTCGCACTGCTCTGCGGGAGCTTGCAGGGGATTCCCCGTCTGGCGACGTGGCGCAGATCGCACGGTCGCGATAAAACCGTGGGGAAAATATCGCGGAGAGCAACGACTCTTTCATAACGTTCAACGACGCGCCTGTGACAAAATCGCCCGTTGTGCCGCATTGCCCTCTGCTGACCGCCGCCTTGCCCCGCGGCCTCCTAATGAGCCGTTGTGTACCGGTGGTCGCCCGTGCAAGCACTACGCAGGCTCAAGCCCGCTCGGCTTCCAAGATCTGATGAGATGGGGGTGGAGGAGGCGGTCGGGCAGGGAGGGAGGGGTTGTTGGGGCGTTGCGGGCGAAATCAAATTCACCGTTTCTCTCCGGACATTTTCTCCGTCGCTCGGCAGGGCATGTGTCCGGAGCGCGACTTCAAGGTGGTGCACGGAGGCTTCTCGAACCGGCCGGTGTACCGTTTGGAGAGCGTTCGGGGTACCAGGTGAGGCAAAGCAGCTGATTCCCCAGCAGCAGCACCAGCAGCTGCTGCTATTGCTGCTGCTGCTGCTGCTGCTACCGCGACTGTTGCGCTTGACAGGCGAGCGGTGGCTAGGAGATGTTAACTACCCCGCCAGGTATACAGGAGGTTGCTGGTTCGATCCCCACCCCGACGCCTGCTGCTGTATATTTTTAAGTTTGCGTGTTCTGTGTCGTGCACCTGACCCTTGTTACGTGGTATATAACGTGCGTTTTAAATGCTCAAGAATTCTGTTCACGTCTTATTTTGTACGCATGTATGTCCTTCCCCACGGAGGTATTGGGGGGGGGGGGGGGGGTGAAGGACAATAAACTAAACACAAACAGCAGTTCTAAAGAAAATCTTTGCATCCCGGAAGTTTTATTTATTTATTTCAATAATGCTTAAAGATACCGGCGTCACCACGTTCCAGCACCAATATGACTAGCGGAGCTGACCGCTGTTCCCTCGCTCCACTCTAGCTTGCTGCTGAGCAGCGGACCTTCGGACAACTCCGTCCAACTCTGGCAAAGGGGAGGAGACGACACGGGTGAGTGAACGCGCGCCTCCGTTTATGTTTATAACTTTCGGGGAGAGAGAGGTGGAGGGGACACGAGAACTGTCATAAACACACGGACGTAAGCTATCGGTTAGCGCGGAATGTCAGCGGAGGGGTTGGCACACCACAAGATGAATCGGTCGACCATGCGTTCGAATCCCAACACATGGCTGATATCGGTGGCGAGTGATATCCAAACGGGGGGGGGGGGGGGGGGTTGGGTTTTTCTTCCGCATCACCAACCTCTGCTGAGCAGCGTGGTAAAGTATGGTCAAACAACCCCCTTGACTGAAGCAGAGTAGGGAGGCCTTCAGCTTTGTAATTGACAAAGGGCAATAAATCATGAATATTATCGTAGTTGTTTGGCATGTCATGATAGCGTTTTGTCAAGCCAATGGAAACAAGGGTTTGATGAAAAGTGTGTTGGATGATGATTGGTTTACAGAGCACACAAGCTGGGGTTGTCATGTTAAATCTCTGTCATCTGATTGGATGTTGCCATTGCAGATGTCCACTGGGGAGAGTAGGGGTTGTCATGTAAATCTCTGTCATCTGATTGGATGTTGCCATTGCAGATGTCCACTGGGGAGAGTAGTGATCAAATTCGTCCAGACTTGGACCCCATGTTTTACATATAAAATCACACTGCAGAGTAACTCTCAGTGACAAACTAGCACTGCTCACGCGTTTTCGCCAGATCCATGGCCTAGGTGGAGGGTGGAGGGGGGGGAGGCATAGATGCCAGCATGACGCACGGACCTGACCCAACGCGGTGGGATGGCGGGCGCTGTTATAGCCCACTTAAACTAAATAATTTTTATTTTACCAGGTAAAGCCCACTGAGCTATGTAGCTCTGTTTCAGAAGCGACACGGCCACAGATGATAGCTCAACGAAGTGGCTTATAATCGCGTGGAAATTTATAGCAGCCAAATGCTCTGAACGCGTGCTTCTCAATGTGGAGGGAAAAACCGGAGGAGGGGAGAACATGCAAACCCCAAATGTAGGAGCATCAGGGTTTGGATCGAACCCACGACCTCCTGTACTGCAGGCGAGGTAGTTAACATCTCCTAGCCACTGTGGCGACACACCTGCGCACCAGGCAGCCAGCAAAACTCTTTTGCTCATATCGTATCACGACATGGCCAGCGAAGATTGCCCTAACTTTATCCGCCGGCTTACCATGGCCTCCACGAGAGTAGGTTCTAGAGAGGACCGCTAAGAGGGCGTATGGCCTACTTTTCGACGCTGGCCAAACATCTTTGAAGGGCTGTAAGTACCCACACATGACGCTCATGAATCTTTTGTAAAAAAATCTGCCGCTCATCAGTGCGCGGCGAGGGTGGAGGGGAGGGGGCAGTCACCGGGACTGCACGTGTGTGTGTGTGTTTGTGCTGCACGCGCCAGATGTCGTGAGGAATGTGGGCGAGATCCACAACAGCCGGAGAGAGCAGGAGTGGAGTCACATGTGCTGCTCATCGGACCAGCTCCTCCTGCATGGGTCCAGCATCGGCACCGTCCAGACCACGGACCTGCACACGCGACAAGCCACCTTCTGTCTCGGCGACGCCGTCATCGGTAGCGGTCTTTGATTGTAAAGAAAAATGTTAAGTCGTGTGTTGTAAGTAAAAAAAAAAAAATCTCAATTATAGTATCAGTTGTGCAGACGGGATAATATCACTGTTGTGACTCTTTGAGTGTCGCGGTTTAAAAATGGTGCTGGAAAGTTTGACACTTGTACCATAACTATCGTTATTTAGAACAATTCACCATGTCACAATTAAGACGGGAACTTCCGTGACATCACAACCCACCCGCACTTTCGGATCTTTTCACGCGATTGTAATATGACGTGAATAATACGGGCAGCTGAAAAACTAACAAAAAAATCAATCCCAAACTGTCACCTGAAATGTTTCAATCCCAATCTCATCCCTAATTAGCATCACCAATCTTCTTTCGTACGGATCATGAAAGATGCAGAGCGACGGCTACAAATTCACATTCAGGTGGTCAAGCCGGATAGCCGCGTCAGGCGCAGTATCTCTCATTTGAATTTGTGGATCGGGCATTGCGTTGTTATACGTTGTACGGTCAGTTCTGGATGACCACAGTTTTTAACTTCGCGCATCAGGTATCCGCATCTGCTTATGGTTTGTCAACGTGAGCGGCACTGACCTGGGTGCCACGGTGGCGAGATGTTAACTCCCTCGCCCGGTATACAGGACGTCTTGGGTTCGATCCCAACCCTGACGCCTGTATATTTGGAGTTTGCATGTCCCTCCGGTTTTTCCCTCCACATTTGGAGGCAACATCACGCATTTAAGGGTGTTTGGCTGCTCATAAATTTCCAACACCATGATCGGCCCACTTCGTCGAGCTACCATTTTGTTGGCCAAGGCCGCTTCCGAGAAGTAGCCACATAGCTCGGTGGGCCTCACCCCGGTAGATAAAAACTAGCTTCACGAGTCTGGTTTCAAGCCGCTGAAGCGTTTGAACGCCGACACAGAGGGCGGCGCCGGCGGTGGCCTCCTGTGCGCGCTGGCGTTCGTGGACGGCGGCCGCACACTGCTGGCCTGCGGCGACGTCGGCGACCTCTGGCTGCTGGACGCCCGCTCCGGCCGTGTGGCCGCGCACGCTGCACCCTCCCCGGGCCCCCGTTGCGCCTGCGCGGCCGCCTCGGACGGCGGCCCCTCCGGCGGGCAGGCCGGGCGGCCGGGGATCCGAGTGGCGAGGTTTTGGGCAAGCGGGCGCCTGGCCGTGTCCGACGCGAGGAACCTGGATCGAGTGGTGGCCGCCACCGCCGCTTTGGAGAGCCCTCGCCGGAAGAGCACGACGGCGCCGCAGGAGGCGGAGGAGCCGCTGCTCTGCGTCAGCTGGTCACCGACTGCCCCGGAGCACATCGCCCTGTCCGGTTCGTTGGTTAATTTGGTTTGGTTTTGATTGAAAGCTTTCGTGACTGCAGTAGTTCGTATTCTTAGCTCTTTCGGTAAAGTCACGTTGAAGGGAAACAATAAAATAATAAAATGTATATATATAAAACAATAAAATTTCGCACGACGTTTCGACCATAACGCAAACGACCGTGACTTTACCGAAAGAGCTAAGAATATAATTTTGGTTTGGGTTTCCACTCGTCTCGCGCCGCCGTCTTTCCAGAGGGTTGGCGGCCTGCAGGCAAGCAGATCTCGCCCGCCGGTCCACCGGCCTTGCTTGCGCTGCTCTTCCACGTTACATTACGACGACCGGTTCGTTTCTTAAGTCGTCCGTCACCATCGCATGCTTTTTTCCGGTCTTCCTCGTGATCTCTTTCCATTTGTACACCGTCGTGCGAAAACCATTTCCAAACAACCTCAACGCAATGTGGTTTTTTGTTGTTGTTGTTGTTGTTGTTGGCCGCGTAAACGCAGTGGTTGTGTCGCATTTGGAGAAAACATTTTTTCTCGATTAATATCTGTTAACGAAGGATACGCCCCCGCAGGACAGCGGTATAACATTATTTCACTTGATCAGTTGGGAGAAATGTAGAAAGTAGGGTTTCAATAATGCATTTCGGTGAAGTAGGTGGAAGTAACACACTGCGATGAAAGAATGTGCGAAATACAAATTGGCTTACAGCGGCTTGGCAATCGTGACACGTTCGGTTGGGCTTTCATCTTTTGTGGTTTTATCTCAAGGTCAATTGAAAGGCATTTAAATGCCTCCAGCAAAAAGGCAACAAGATATTAAAATTTAAACGCGAAGAAGTATCACGTGGGTTGAAAGGTTTTGGCGGATAGCCGAATTCGATTTTCTAACGTGCTATGTTGATAAAGTAGCACAAGGGTCATGTAAAAAAATACATTTTGGTTGATTCAACAAATTGGTTCAGAAAGCGCACATAGACTGATAGAACAAAAGTTTATTTTTACACGGTGAAACAGGCCAGTGTCTATAAATATATTTTTAACCCATAATCCACCACGATGGTATACGGTTTAAAATATATATATACATGAATTACCATTAAATGTCAGTTTGACGATGTTTTACATATTAACCATTAGGCCGAAATAGATCTAATTTGAAGCTTTGTTACCTACGTTCTCCACGATTACGTTCTTGATTATTTCGTGTTATGTATTTTATACGTAGTTTTGTATCGAACTAGGAGCCATATCTGACCTTGCCTATAAAACATCTGCCAGGTCACCAGCATTGGTTCAAACGGGATTGACTGCTGATGCTGAATGTTTGCTAAAAGGCTGTATGGCTGATGGAAAGTGTAAAAAAAAAAAGTTTTTTTTAAAGTGGGGAGGCAGACGTGGAAAAGAGGCGTATTGACTATTTATCAGACGGGGTTAGGGCATTATTTTTCACAATTTAATCATCTTACCCCGTGCCTTCCCGGGGACCAGGATTTGGCGGAATGGTGCATATTTATGACACGACATCCTGGACGCCGGACCTCGCCCCCGCTCGACCGTCATTCATCCACAAAGGTCACACGGTGGTCGAGGGCGATACCCGCGACGCGCAGGTGACCCAGCACGCCTGGCACCCGTGGCGGGCCCGGACCCTCCTCTCCGCGGGAAACGATGGCTCCCTGCACGCCTGGGAGTGGGCCCTGCCGTGACCACGCCTCGCGCACGGCATTCCATTTCGCTCATAAATAAAGGGGAAGGGCTACAGTTTCGCGGACCAAAAGCAGACATTGGAACCGGCTAAAGTTTAAAAATGTCATGGGTACCTGCTTTACTTGCGTGGTTGAATGAGAGTGGTTTACAGGGACTCCTCTACTTACGAACATTATACTTACGAACTTTCAGAGACGCGAACAAACCTGGTCCGTATGTCCAGTTGCCTGTTTGGACCGAGAGTCGTAAGTTCAACCGCCGCGCAATAGATGGCGGTGGTGGCATCTACATCTGCAGAACGTGAAGAACCAGTGGCATCTACATCAACAGGAGATTATACAACTTTTAATGCCATTCCCCGTGTTGAGTGTACATGCCAATGTAGGACATGTTTAGAATCGACAGGAGTAAAGTTGAACTTAAGAAGAGACCTCTGGAACCTAACTCGTTCGTAAGTAGAGGAGTCCCCTGTATATCATGACCCCACTAATTTCAAGTGGTTATCACATAATTCACTAATGTTGGCCGCACGCTGGAATTGGACTCTGCTAAAGTTGTGGCTCTCAGGTGGCACTGCACAAGTTAAATATCAAGTTTGGCTCAGTCTAGGGGGGAGCAGATGCTGCGATGGCAGTGTGGGCAGATCTTGGGGAGGTCGCTGCGTTGTCTCCTGTGTGGCAGCTGTGCGAGCTGGCGGAGGGACAGCAGGAACACGTTTGGCAGCGAGGTGTGGTGTAGCAACCCCCTTTTTGCCGCAATGATGTCTCGATCCTGTACATAAAGCTCGTTTTGTAGTAATTTTGTTTTGCCTTGCTGTGAATTTTATTAAAGTGTGATTTTTTTTTTAATGAATTACATTCTGCAATGCTTCGGGACTTGGTGATTCGGTTTCTGGCATGTCACCCAAGCTTAAGTGAGAAACAAAAGGGTGCATGCAGGGGTGGAGCCACAGGGGGGGCTGGGGGGGGCTCAGCCCCCCCTGAAATTTTGAGAAAGTCGATAATCGGGATAACCGGATATCTGGCTGCTGCAAATTGCTGCAGGCTGCCACCTTGTGTGCTGCCCTGCAGGCTGCCCCTTTGTGCTGCCCTGCAGGCTGCCACCTTGTGCTGCCCTGCAGGCTGCCACCTTGTGTGCTGCCCTGCAGGCTGCCACCTTGTGCTGCCCTGCAGGCTGCTACCTTGTGCTGCCCTGCAGGCTGCTTGAGCGGCAGCCTTTCGAACTTATCGAACTTATTAGCCACATCAGCGGCTCCGACCTATTAATAAACTCCGCGATCAAATCCAATAAAAATTGTTTTATACATTTGTGGCGCCCATTGGAAAACATAAACAGTGGATATCTCAGAATATTGAAGTCAGCACCCCCAAAGTCAAAATCCTGGCTCCGCCCCTGGGTGCATGTGTATTATTGAAGAGGCAGTCTCTCAACTGTTGAATGAAGCCCCATGCACTACACCTAACTCTACCACTAGTTATTCAAGCGTTGTATTTTTTTTTCTTTTTCAAAAGTACCGTCCAACATGCTATTGGCGTGTTATCATGGGACGGGGATATTTCCATTCGGAACGTTCACGGCTCGAGGTGTGTCGCAGACGGCTCTGGAGGATGCCAAAACTGCTCATGAAATAATTTCGATACCTTTTTATTTTTCGATTTAAAGCTTTCGTGACTGCAATGATTCATCTTCTTTGGTTCTTTCGGTAAAGTCACGTAGAATGAGAATAAAATAATAAATTGATAAAATAACACAATAATATTCTCATGACGTTTCGGCCACAACACAAGCGGCCTTCATCATGTGAAGGGACGAGACTGTCTGGTAGGACAGCGCTGGAGTGAAAGAGCCACGTTCAGATCACGACCTTTAAGCTGTGTGAGAGGAAACAAAGTGCCTTGACAAAGGAATTAGCATATAATTTAGCATTGAAATGGCTGAGTGATTAGCTTGTGACTGGTCACAGTAATAGCTATGTTAAAAGTTAAAGCATACACATCCGCAGAGGCACCCCTTGATAAAGGAATTAGCATAGAATTTAGCATTGAAATAGCTAAGTTAAAGCATACACATCCGCAGAGGCACCCCTTGACAAAGGAATTAGCATAGAATTTAGCATTGAAATAGCTGAGTGATTAGCTTGTAACTGGTCACAGAAATAGCTACGTTAAAGTCAGAGCATACACATTCACCGAGGCACTTAGTACAAATCAAACAGGAGAATTTAGCATTGAAATAACTAGGCGAATTTAGCATTGAAATAACTGAGTGATTAGCTAGTGACTGGTCACAGAAATTACTATGTTGAAGTTTCACGCGAGGGGCACAATCTGTCATTTCCTGCCAATATTGTTCATTTGTCACTTCGAAAGCTTCACTAAACCACATTCACAACGGTGATCAGCCAAATTTTAAACAGTGCGGTCATTTGTAACTGGGTTTGATACTAGCATCTCTCTCTCCGATTGAGAACGCGGATACAGCATAGGTCGCGCTGTCACGAATGGAACACGGTCTCAACGTTGCTAGTTCACAGGGATGACTCCTGAGCCAACCAGCCACCCCTCTCCACTACCACTCACATCTTTTACGACTTAAGTATGTCTTTCAACGTGGGATAGCGGGAACATGGCGAGGTTGATTTTATCCCAGGAATATTTCTCACCGCACTCGTAAAGGCACCCGAACCACAGGCCTCCCCCCTCCGTCTTGCCGAGAACGGCCAGGTCCGAGTACCCGCTGGGGCCTCTGAAAATCACCCAAGGATCGCTCCAATTTTCGGGGGACAAGGGCGACCTGTTGAGGTAGACGCCCAGATCCAGACGCTTCTTGGGTTTGGACGGGTGGGAATAGAGGAGCCAGTGCTTGGGCGTCGTGTCGCCCTGCAGCTCGGGCAAGAAGCCGATGATGCTTCCGTGGCAGCCGTTGCAATCTTCGACCAGCCTGGGCACAACCGTGCCCTCTCTGAAGGACCTCCCCAGGTCGTCGCTGACGGCCTGAGCACGGAACTCGTGGCCCAGCGTGCGGCTGTTGCAGATCACGACGGGTTGTCCGGCCTCGTCGGAAACCTTCGCCACCTGACATTCGCACGTGTGGAGGGCCCCCCCCACCGGATCACCGGCCTTCCACGTGACCCCCGCGTCATCGCTATAGATGGAGAACGAGCGCGGCTGCGAGTCATTCTTGTGGACATCCCTTTTGAAGTAGGCGTAGGCGGGGATTAAGATCCGCCCGAGCTTGGTGCGGCTGCCCGAGCTGGCCGGCAGGTGGAGGCCGTGGCCGGGGCCCAGTGCGAACGTGGCCCAGCGGCCCACGCGCGGCCCCAGAACCGCGTCGGTCGGATCGACCGCGGCGCCCCAGGTGACGCCGCGGTCGGTGCTGCAGACGTAGGCCAGCCTCGCCGCGTTCTCTCCGGACGTCAGCTGTTCTCCCTCCGACAGGCCGGTCGGTACGGTTATGAAGAAGAGGAAAAGCTTTTCCTCCACGAGCACGTGGGCATGGGTTCATGGTGCGATGCCCAGGCATCGTTGCCAAAGTCAGCTCTTGTATCTTTCCTGCATTTTCGATCTGCATCATCAGAATAGTGAATAAAAGTGTAATCGATTTTTGTGTTTTACAACAGGTGCAATTGAAACCTGAATCAAAGTAAAGGTGTGATTAATTGCCAGTTTTTTATTAACCAATACTACGATCTCTCCACTGGCTCCCAATCCAATCCCAAATCAATTTAAAGATCACACCATCTTCAAGATCCTCCCTGGAATCGCCCCTGCTTACCTCTCCCTTCTGTTAAGATCAGGAACCACATTCTGGGATTGCAACCCGAGTTCCACCACCAGAAACTAAAAAAACATTCTGCTGTCAACCAAATGGGCCTTCTGAACCAATGTTTCTGCCAGCGTTTGTTGAAACCAGCAGAGCCTGGGCTGGTTTCGACTTCTATAAAACTAAAAAGTATTTTTTATTTTACCAGGTAAGGCCCACCGAGCTATATAGCTCTTTTTCAGAAGCGACCTGGCCACAAATGAAAGCTCAACGAAGTGGCTTATCACGTGGATATTTAAAGTGGCTAAATACTCTAAAATGCGTGTTGATTCTAAATGTGGAGGGAAAACCGAAGGACCCGAAAGAGAGAACAAGCAAACTCCAAATATGCAGGCGTCAGCGGTGTGATCAAACCCACAACCTCCTGTATACCAGGTGGGGTAGTTAACATCTTGCACATCGTGGCACCCCTTGTCCGAGTGTCATCACGATAGGACGACCCCAAGGGAAATCCAGGGCAAGCGACAATCCCACACGAATCTTCTCGTATCCATCGCCTCTCAGCCTTTGCCTCCACCTACCCTGTAAATTGCTTTGATTTACGTTTAGATATTGGTCGTATCCCCGATGTAAACCGGGGTGTTACCGTATTGCATAACGCTACTCACCACCGATTTTAGCCATTCATCCGCCAAAGGGATATCTGTTGAGAAAAAGGCGAAGTGAAGGGCCCCCCCCTCCCTCCCTAACCTTCCGCACGCGGTTCACGAACCTTGAGGACTCCGGCTTCATCCTCCGCCAGCTTGACCCTGCGCACCACCAGGTGCTCGGCGTGCTCGTCCAAGGGGGAGGAGCGTCTCTCGGCGAAGGCCAGCGCGGCGCGGTCTTGGGGCAGGTACAGGAGGGCGGGGATGCGGTACGTGAGCCCCCCCTCTCCCCGCTCGTACAGGGTGAGCGTCTGTGGGGGGTCCTGGCTGCTCGCCATGCCCTGCTTGGCCGTGGCGGGGTGGCGGGGGGAAGAGACGGTGTCGCGTCAAGCTTAAGGCCGTGCTCCTCCATGCATTCATGACCTCCTTCAGGCCATACATTCCATCAAGATCATTAAGATCCTCAGATTGTGCATTGCTCACTATCCCACGGTCTAGGCTTCACACTTGGGGGTGATTGTGCCTTTGTAATTGCGGCACCTAATCGATGGAAGTCCTCACCCCTTGGAGGTCAGGACTTCTGAGACACTAAAAATCTTCAAATCTGACTAAATATGTAAATGTTTAAAATGGCTTTCTCTTGTTAGTTATTTGCAAACGTCTTTCTCACTTCTTCTTTCGTTGGTTGATGTTTAACTATTGTCACCCTGACAACAATTGTTTAAGGGGCGCTTTACACATCTAAATTATTATTAAAGGGGAATAAAATTGGCACAACATTGATATCGTGATTTTTCTAACGCTTGCAAACAGTGGGGGGTGGGGGAGGGGGATGTAATAAGGAAAAATATTTCAACTTGTAACACGCTGCACAGTACTCACTCACTCTCGAAAGGTTGAGAATGGCTCAGAGGAGCGAGGAACCAACCACAGACAAGCGGAGAAGGCAGTGGGCCAGGTGGTGAGCCATTTGAGCGTCTACAATGTTGGAGGAACCCCACGCGTGCGAGGGGGCAACACTCAATCCCGTACAGACGGAACAGGTGGAGTCCACGTTTGCTCTAGCGCCATTCTCCTGGCGAGCCAGGGTACGGCACCTCCCCGTCGCGCACAGGGAAAGGAGTTTTGCGAGATCCGTGTGTGACCCAACCCACCCTCGCTGCCTCCACAGTGCTGGATCGACAGGCCACAGCGCATAGCCGCCACCGCCGCCCGGTCCAATGCAATTATCACTGACAAAGTTAAAGCCGCGATCAAAGCAAATAAAAGCGACAGTGCAGAGGATACAATAAAAATGAGACGTACGGCATAAGCAAATACAAAGATCCCCCGTATAGCCTGAACAGACTGTTGGGGGCAAGTGCTGTTAGCGAGCACCTATGGTGACCGCTGCAAAGTATGATCTTGTGTTTTGATTATAGTGTGCTGATCTTTAAAGGTGCATTGAAAATTTTTGATACTCCTACTGATGCTCCTGCTGTTATGGAGTGACTCATGCAGCCAGCTATGGCTACAGGGTTTGGTGGTACATGTTGTTTATGTCGTTTATTGTTAAATTTCGGTCATAGTTCCTATGATCACTGTTACGTTGCTTTTACGGCTTTATTTTGGTGATTTCGAAAACGTCTTTTGGTTTGGCCATGTTTGTTTGTTGTAGTACTGAGTTAGACTGATGGCTTTAATGTAAGTTGTCTTGTGGTTGTTGTTGTTGTTGTTTGACTTGCATCCCACTGGGATTTTGCACAGAGCGTTGGTGTACGGTGCTTTTTTCTGGAAGATTTTGCTGTTTTTTCCTGGATTTTTCTGTTTGCGCATAGTCACTTTAAGATGTTTTCTTGATCATGTTTTTGTTTTGTTTGTTTGTTGCGGTTGCACCCGATTCAAGAGCCGAATGGCTCACAGGGCTATACCAAAATAAATGAAACTGAATGAAGGCCGCCACTGTGGGACACAAAGGGGTGGGTGGCCAGCACCACACCCGACCGCCTTTGTCTCCCCAGTGGCGATGTTTACACACCGCACCAGGTACTCATTTGAGGCTGCGTCGACCTGTGGTGTACGACCAGTACACACACACACAGTGGAACATACCTGTCAACCCCTTATTAGTGCCCTACCTTATTACAGACAAATTCAGACCTTATTGTTCACCCCGTGCCCCTTATACATTTCAACGTTCATCCTACAAAGTCCCATCACAAAGGCGAGAAACCATAGACAAATAGGCACGTTTTTCTTGACTCAATTTCTCTATACAAGAATACGGGGTAAACCGTATGGGTTTACAGGAGTGGAAACAACAATCATGTTTTTTTTGGGTTGGGGGGGGTTTAGATTTCAGTTTGGTGTTTCAACATCTCAACACAGCTGTTTTGTTACCAGGAAAAAGGGAGAAAATCCTATTATCATATTTTGGTACTGGCAAAGGAGGTCCCATGATGTAGATGCTCAACCCGAGCCCTCATTACTCTGATAGTGGCATTGTCTTTGTGCTGTGTACGCCTTTTGGCGTCCTCTGGTCTAACACCGTTTTGAGACGAGGCTCAAAAGAAAGCTGTCTCTGGTGTGGACCTATCAGTTTCAAAGACGATGCCAATATATTATCAAAGTATGTTTTTTGTGTGCATTCTGACCACAAGCATTGTGCTTAATGCAGACATGATTCCTTGTCAAATGTTTCAGTTTGGTGTTTTAACATCTTAACACCCATACTCTTTGTTTTCTTTCGGTAAAGTCACGTAGGTACACAAATAAAATAGATCACGACGTTTCGGGCGCAACGCAAGCGATCGTCATCAGGTGGGACAACCACAGCAAGAAAAAAAACTGCTGTGGTTGTCACACCTGATGACGATCGCTTGCGTTGCGCCCGAAACGTCGTTATTTATTTTATTTTTATACCCACGTGAATTTACCGAAAGAACCAAAGAGGGTGGATCCCTGCAAGTCGCGAAAGCTTCAAATCAAGATCTTTACACAGCTGTTTTGTTGCCGGAAAAAAGGGGGTAAAACCCCCGATTATCTTCTTTGATGAAGGCCGCTTGTGTTGTGGCCGAAACGTCGTGAGAATTTTATTGTGTTATTTTATTATTTTATTCTCATTCTACGTGGTGACTTTACCGAAAGAACCAAAGAAGATGAATCCTTGCAGTCACGAAAGCTTTAAATCGAAATTTAACCCCCTATGATCATTTTTAAAAATGTGTCGTTAGAACCCGCCACCACCCGACGCGGCCAGTAAGGTTTGTCACGTAAACAGAACGTGACAAGTTCGTTACGAGCACAGCAACACCGCCCTGTGCTTGGCAGAGCAAAGCCACCAGCCACGACAACATTCACAATCCGGGTGTCGTCGGGTGGTGGCGGGTTTAACGACACATTTACATATTTGCGGTCGTGCACCCGATTCAAGAGCCGAATGGCTCACAGGGCTCTATACCTAATAACTGAAACTGAACAACACAGATGTCTTCTTTGGTTCTTTCGGTAAAGTCACGTAGAATGAGAATAAAATAATAAATTAATAAAATAACACGATAAAATTCTCACGACGTTTCGGCCACAACACAAGTGGCCTTCTTCAAGGCCACTTGAAGCTCTGTCGTCCCGACAGGTTTGTTCCTTTCACCTGAAGAAGGCCACTTGTGTTGTGGCCGAAACGTCGTGAGAATTTTGTGTTGTTTTTTTATTTTTTTCATTCTACGTGGTGACTTTCCCGAAAGAACCAAAGAAGATGAATCCCTGCAGTCACGAAAGCTTTAAATCGGAACACAGATGTCGTACACCTGTGTTATGGGTGACGACAATTGGTCGCGAAAGCGTTGACTTGCGTCGAGATGAGAAACCCAAACGCGTGAATACGAAGCGGTGACCACACTGCATTCAAGCTGCTCGCGACGGGGAGAGGGAGGCCTTCATCCAGCAGTGGAGTGACCACGCTCGGCGGCTTTGGGCAAAAACGAAGCAGTTGCGGAGGACGGGGGAGGAGGAGGGGGGGTCCGCGAATCGTCTACAGTAGTCGCGTGCATACTGAACCGCGACTACCGTAGCGCCGTCGCACGGAGCGATGGCGCGTAACGCATCGAAGGAGCAAACAAAATAATGTCACGTCAATCAAAAAAAAACCCGACAGCGCATTTGTTAAAAGTTAGTTTTGAGGGAAGAGGGTGGTTTTTTAAATAAATAAAAATTATGCTCGCAAAAGTTTTAAACAAAAACAAGAAGCCTCGCGGTGGTGTCCAGGGCAGCCGCTCCGCTGGGCCCTCTACAACAGCAGCAGCGGCAGCGGCGAAGACGACGACGAAGCGAGGCTTAATTTATTAAACGCTTACGAAATCTTTACAACGTGGGAGCCAACGACGCTCGTGGCAAAAAAAAACCAACGAGAACTTTAGCAACAGCAATCGTGTACTCTTTAAAAAAACAACACACACACAAATGTATTTAGTTTAACCTGACGCGTCGCTAAATGGGTGGTGGGTGGGGGGGGGTTGGTATCGTAAAGCATGCGACGAAACGAAACTTTGTGGGGTTTTTGTTGTTGTTATGGAGTCGAGATTAAGGGGACGTCCATAAATGACGTCACGCACCGGGGGGGGGTGGGGTGTGGGGGTCAGACATTTGTGACGATGCGTGACGAGGAGGGGGGGGGGTGAGAAATGTGACGTCACATCAAAATGCGCAACGTTAAATAAATATAGACAACACTTCATCAAATAGACTTTTTAATACATGTGTTGAGGCGTAACTGATGACTCGGAGGCAGACCTTCGTGTTAAGGGGCTTGCGCCACGTTTATTAAGGGCTCACGCCAGTTGTTTTATTGAACGCCTCTCTTCGCACACGACTCCGTGTACTGCACACTCACTGCCTACTACACTCCACACCCCGGGGGTAGGGTACTGGGGAGGTCCCTAGCACACCCACAGGCTACCCTAGCCTGGTGCCAATTCCCCCCTACCCCTGGGTCCCGACTTTCACCCTTCACGTTCCCGGACCCTCCAGACGACCCTGAACCCGTGACGGGTTCCAGCTTAAATCCCCCAGGGGGACATGACGTCACCGGCCCGCCCCTGTGCATGACGTCAGCATTCGTGACGTCATGGTACCAGAGGGCGAGCGTTACATGACGTCACTAACTCCTACTCTACACATGTTTTCTCCTACAACATCAGAGTGCAGCGCCACATTACATACGCACTACAATGACAATAGTTTAAAGAGATTTGAAGCATGGCTTCTTTTCAAAATGGAAATATGGTTTTGGGGGGAGGGGGGCAGAGCTTTGTGACGTCATATTTGAGGGGGGGGGGGGCTGACTTTTTGTGACGCCGTGTGACGAGGGGGAAGGGGGGGGTCAAAAATCGTCCAAAATCGCGTGACGTCATTTATGGACGGCCCCTTAAACCAAGTCAAGTGGTTCTTCTTATTCTTCACCTGGGGGTGCGAGATGTCCTTTCTGGGGGCTGTGCGAGACGTGACCAAATCAATATTTTCTTCGAAGGTCAATCATCAAAAACACAAATTAAGCACGGGAGCGCGTTAAGTACAAGTCAATTTGTTTAATCAAACCCAAAATGTATTTGTTAACATTCTACATTGTTTTTTTTGTCACGAATGAGAACCAATCGGGGTGCAAGGCTGCAGTGGAAGTTTAAGGACCGTGGCATCAAGCACCTGCGTTAACCGCACACACTATTGCTTGTGGCGAACGTGGCAATAAAACATGCTCTGGTAGTTATACAGAGGGTGCTTCAAAAAATTGTTCGCACTTCCGAGAATTTGCAACAATAACCACGAGAAATGTGCCGCCGCCTCAGGGCTCTGGAGACCAGCAGGAGAAGATTCCAGGCCACGCGTTGACTACGATGGCGAACAAGTGGGAGACTCTTTGACTTTTTTTAAGCTTTCGTCACTGCAGAAATCCATACTCTTTGGTCCTTTCGGTAAAGTCACGTAGGACGCTTGTGTTGCGCCCGAAACGTCGCGATTTATTTTACGCTTGCGCGACTTTACCCAAAGAATCAATGAGTAAGTGGAGACTCTTTGACTTTTTGAAACTATTCACATACATTTTTTTTTTATCATGTATCCGTTATTTTTCCATTAAAAACGATAGTCCCATGTAAGTGTCAACATTTTTTTAAGCAACCTGTATATGCATTGTCCAGAGAGACAGCAAACAGCCTCTCTATGGCCTAGTCGTCACCAGTGTCAAACCAGAGAACGCCAAAAGGCGAACAGGACAAAGACATAGTAATAGGTTGTTACCCTTTTAGCTGGCACAAAAAACTGACACCTTTATACAAGAGATCATGTTTGCAATAACCACAACACAAGCAGTCAAAAATGCAAACAAAAATAAACAACTCTGATAATGATATGCACTGTCCTTGAATTTTATTGGTCCACACCCGAGACGGCTTTTCTTAGAGCCCTTTAGTCTCCACTGGTGTTGGACCAGATGACGCCATAAGGCGTACAACTCAAAAACAGCGCACTATCAGAGTATTGAGGGCTCGGGGTGAGCATTTACATTATGAGACCTCCTTTGCCAGTAACAAGATATAGTAATAGGTTTTTACCCTTTTAGCTGGCACAAAAACTGTGGACCAATCAAATTCAAGGACAGTGCATATCATTATCAGAGTTGCTTCTTTTTGTTTGCATTTTTGACTGCTTGTGTTGTGGTTATTGCAGTTTTTTGTGCCAGCTAAAAGGGTAAAAACCTATTACTATCTCTTGTTACTGGCAAAGGGGGTCTCATAATGTAAAGGACAAAGACAATGCGCGTGGTAGTGACACAGCGCCGACTGCTGTCCAGCAGCGGCAACTGCGGTGGACAGCGCACGCGCCAGTGAGCATGTACACGGCGTGTGTGCCGGCAGGGTGGAGGAACTGGGGCAAGGGTCACGGAAGACCTCACCGGAAGGCTCCCGGAACCCTCTAGTGCAGCGGTCCCCAACCTTTTTGGCACCAGGGACCGGTGCGGGAAAGAGGCGCGGACGGAAGTGGTAAATAATAAAATAATGGGGGGGGGGCGCGGCCCACGCGCGGACTCACCGCTCTCACCTCCTGCTGTGCGGCCCGGTTCCTAACAGGCCACGGGCCGGTACCGGTACCGGCCCTCGGCCCGGGGGGTTGGGGACCCCTGCTCTAGTGGGTTCGACAAGCGAGGCGTGGCCAGGACGGAGCCAGGACGTGCTGAGTAGAATAAAAGCAACGGAGAGCGAGAGCTTCGGGCTCTCAGTGCGCAAAACTCCTGCGGCAACATTGCGCTCACTTCAGTTGGCCGGTCGACGTTCGAAGTGAGGACTGCGGCCCCCCCCCCCACCCCCCCCCCCCTCCCCCTCAAAGGAGCGGTGCCGGTCCCTTGGTCGCATCCCCATCCCCGTGATCCGTGGGATCAAACAAATCGCTCGAGACACCGAAAGCAGTTTACTCGAATGCTAGGCCCAAGAAGTCACACGTTTGGCGCAACGGTCCTTCGCTGGACGATGCAAGTAATTAATAAAATGAATGACATTTCTACATTCATAATAAAGGCTTTTTGGGTTAGATCGATCTAACCCAAAAACCTTTATTATGAATAATATTGGTCGCGAAAGCCTACATGTTAAAATTACATTTCTGTCAATACGTTATTAAAGCTAATCGGTGGTCAATTCAAATGGCAGAGTGGCAGTCAAAGAGGGGGGGGGGGGGGGGGAACTCGCCATCGGGTGCGTCCACCGTGGAGATAGGGCTATAAAATGAGCTTGTGTGCAGGTGCTAGACGGAATATTGAGAGATAATGATGATGGCTTGGGGAGGCCTTCACACAGCAGTGGATAGATCACTGTGTCGCTGTGTATTTTACAACGTTTTCCAGGCAGGGTCGCCCAGAGGTTCTTGGGAGTCCAAGTGCAGAATGTCCCGCAAAAAGGGTGGTGGCATCACTGGCTTTGGCCTTGAAGGCATTTAGACTGTAGACTTCATGGAGACAGGTAAGGCCAATTGAGCTTAACAGCTCTTTTTCTAAAATTATTTGATCTTGTTCAAGTCTAACCTCAAGACCTTATTTCCCCTCTATGACCGACTGCCTCTCTCTGTAAACCAAATAATTACACGGTTTCTGTACAGCGTCTTGAGATGTGGCCGCGTTGAGAAGCTATGCAAGTATGAACACTTATTTTGGCCCACCCGTATGAGTCCAGTCCATCGTGAATGCACGCTGATCACACAAGAGTAAGCTCTTTGGAATAACACCACTGTTTTAAGTCCGCTGCAAAACTGGCTCGAGACTCGAGGATGATTCCCACACATCCATGGGTAACTGGGTCCAGGTGTTCGGGCCGGAGACCCCGAAACTGCGTTTTCTGTGTTTCTGCACGAGGTTTGCGTGCTGGTACAGCAGCAGATAGGGGTACCATGGGGGCGAGGTGTTAACTACCTCGCCTAGTGTGCAGGAGGGCGTGGGTTCGATCGTGACCCTGACGCCTGCTTTATATTTGAAGTTTGCATGTTCTCCCCGTGATGACGTGGACTTTTCTCCGGGTCCTCCAGTTTCCCCCCTCCACATTTAGAAACACGCGTTTAGAGTATTTGGCTGCTGTAAGCCTCCACGTGATAAGCCACTTCGTTGAGCTATCAATTGTGGCCAAGTCGCTTCTGAAAATGAGCCATATAGCTCAGTGGACCTTACCTGGTAAAATTAAAATTAGTTTATAGTTTAGATCACTAAGGGCTGTGGACGATAGACGCTGTTGATTTGCGTCCATTTAGGCTGGTACACACAGCCCACATTTCATTGTATAGTACGGTGATGGTGAAGGTATGGTGACAGTGATGGACATGGTGTGGCAACAAATATTTTCAAACCATCAATGGTATCGCTCCAAAACTAAAGTCCAGGCCAGGAAGGTTTAAAAGAAGTTTAATGAACAAATATCAAGCAGGACGTGCTATACCAACGCAACACTTTCAGATGGAATCTCGTCATATATGCGGATACGGTATAGTTTACATGCAACTAAAATATTGAAAAAAAAAATTTTAAGCAAAGGTTAACATAGCAAGGGGGAGAGGGGCTAAAACTAAGCAACAGCACTGCGCTGTGACCACCGAGGTCCTGGGTTTGAATCCAAGCTTCAGCCATCGGTGGTTTAAACCAGGTTCTCAAGGGTTGATGGTCTCACGATTACACAAAACAATAATGGCAAGAATAATTTTGCTCACATTGGCATACTCCAACTATGAGGATTATTAAGGATTAAAATAAATGTTGTTGTTACTGACATTGCTATTGCACAGCATGTGAGGAGGTGACACTTGTTGGTGTGGATAAGAGGCGACCTCAGAAGTAGTTACGTGACATCCACTTCCAGAGGACGTTCTCTAACACGGCTTGGGGAAATTGTAAAGTATTGATATTGTTTATTAATTTTCAACTGTACAAATATGATTGAAGGTGGCCCGAAATGCCAATGCCTTAAACCTTGCCAGGAATGCATATTTATTTAGGTTTCACTCCTGTGTACTTCTCAACGTCAGCCAATGAGAAGATACAAAAGTTAATTTTGTCTCGAGAATCTTTTTCCCCACCCTCGTAAAGGCACCCGAACCACAGGCCCCCCCCCTCCGTCTTGCCAAAACCGGCCAGGTCTGAGTACCCGCTGGGGCCTTTGAAAATCACCCAAGGATCGCTCCAATTTTCCAAGGCCATGGGCGCCTTGTTGAGGTAGACGCCCAAATCCAGACGCTTCTTGGGTTTGGACGGGTGGGAATAGAGGAGCCAGTGCTTGGGCGTCGTGTCGCCCTTCAGCTCGGGCAAGAAGCTGAAAATGCTTCCGTGGCAGCCGTTCCAATCTTGAGCGGCTTCCACCAGCCTGGGCACAACCGTGCCCTCTCTGAAGGACTTCCCCAGGTCGTCGCTAATGGCCTGGACACGGAACTCGTGCCCCAGCGTGCGGCTGTTGCAAATCACGACGGGCCGTCCATCCTCGCCGGAAACCATCGCAACCTGACACTCCCCGGTGTTAACACGCCCCCTTACCGCATCCCCGACTTTCCAAGTGCTACCCGCATCATCGCTGTAAATGGTGAATGAATGAGGACAGGAGTCACTCTTGGGCAACTCATCTTTGAAGTAGGCATGAGCGGGGATGAGAATCCGCCCGAAGTTGGTGCAGCTGCCCGTTCTGGCCGGCAGGTGGAGGCCGTGGCCGGGGCCCAGTGCGAACGTGGCCCAGCGGCCCACGTGCGGCCCCAGAACCGCGTCGGTCAGATCGACGGCGGCGCCCCAGGTGACGCCGCGGTCGGTGCTGCAGACGTAGGCCAGCCTCGCCGCGTTCCGCCCTGTCTTTAGCTGCTCTCCCTCCGACAGACCGGTTGGCACCGCAATGAAAAATAGAAACAATTTCTTCTCCACGAGCACGGGGCATGGGTTCATGGAACGGTGGCCGGGAATCGAGGCCGCAGCCAGCTCCTGTATCTTCCCCACGTCGGCAACCTGCAACATGAGACACGGCGATAGAATCAGGAAGGCAAATGCATTGTACGATTCGCATCATTGGTTTTCAACCTGGGGTCAGTGGACCACTAGTGATCTGCAGATCAGTGGTCCCCTCCAGGCACTCTCAGACATCTCTCCTACCTCTCCCCTCATTCTACTCTCCTCCATCAACTGACCGCTCCAGCAATCAAGGCTTTTGTTAAAACCTTCAGTCAATATTCACTGTGTGAGTTCGCTCATTCTTGTCAGCTGCCCCTATTGTCTGGAACTCCTTTTCCCCAGCCATCCGTGCTGTCAATTCCCTGCCTCTGTTCAAGTCCAGACTAGGGATCTTCATAAAGTCCTCTGCCTATGACTGACTGCCCCTTCCCATAGACTCACACAAAGATCCATATGTTCACTTGGGGAGTCATAGATTCACAGAGAGACATATGCCGGCTGCCTCTATCCCTATGTATAATATACACTCTCAGACATCTCTCCTACCTCTCCCCTCATTCTACTCTCCTCCATCAACTGACCGCTCCAGTAATCAAGGCTTTTGTCAAAACCTTCAGTCAATATTCACTGTGTGAGTTCGCTCATTCTTGTCAGCTGCCCCTATTGTCTGGAACTCCTTTTCCCCAGCCATCCGTGCTGTCAATTCCCTGCCTCTGTTCAAGTCCAGACTAGGGATCTTCATAAAGTCCTCTGCCTATGACTGACTGCCCCTTCCCATAGACTCACACAAAGATCCATATGTTCACTTGGGGAGTCATAGATTCACAGAGAGACATATGCCGGCTGCCTCTATCCCTATGTATAATATACACTCTCAGACATCTCTCCTACCTCTCCCCTCATTCTACTCTCCTCCATCAACTGACCGCTCCAGCAATCAAGGCTTTTGTCAAAACCTTCAGTCAATATTCACTGTGTGAGTTCGCTCATTCTTGTCAGCTGCCCCTATTGTCTGGAACTCCTTTTCCCCAGCCATCCGTGCTGTCAATTCCCCGCCTCTGTTCAAGTCCAGACTAGGGATCTTCATAAAGTCCTCTGCCTATGACTGACTGCCCCTTCCCATAGACTTGGGGAGTCATAGATTCACAGAGAGACATATGCCGGCTGCCTCTATCCCTATGTATAATATATATGCCCACTGTTTCCTGATTGTATCCATTGTTACATTGCTCGAAGAGGGATGTCGTCCATCGTGAAGCTGCCTCTCCTACTTTTCCCAACCACAACTACCCACTACTCACCCCCTTCCACAACCCCCACCACTGCTAATCAAGGCCAACCCTGGATCCAGAGGAAGGGGTGGGGCCTAAATGGGATAGAGGTGGAGTCTCAACAGAAAGAGGTGGACCCAAAGAGGAAAGGGCAGGGGCCGAAACAGAAGCAGGTCCTGATAGCGAAGGGGTGGGGCCCAAAGAGGAAGGGGTGGGGCTTAAAGAGGAAGGTGCGGGGCCTACAGAGGCTGAACTTCCCTGTTAAGGTATTAAAAGCATAGAAGAATCAAATATGTGCAGCAGGCACAGCAGCAGCATGGCTTTAGTGCTGCATATGCAGCCGTAGGCCAACTAGTTGTCTCACCCTTTTACGTTGTTTCACAAATATGTCGGCACCTTATTAATACCGCTACCTGATTTGCGCCGCCTCAAATAGCACATCACTGGCAGCATAGTTCGTCCTTTCTCGTATCCATCGCCTCTCAGCCTTCACCTCCCATCTACCCTGTAACTTTCTTTGATTTACGTCGTTTCGATCTTCGTCGTCTTACCTCTCCGGAACGCATCCCCGACGCAAACGGGGGGGTATAATACCGTTTTGCATTATGCTATTCTACGCCAATTTTAGCCATTCATCCGTCAAAGCGGTCTCCTTTGATAAAAATGCGAGGGCGGGCCCCCCCCCCCCCCCCAGAACCTTCAGCAAGTGGTTCACGTACCTTGAGGACTCCGGCTTCGTCCGCCAGCTTCACCCTGCGCACCACCAGGTGCTTGGCGTGCTCGTCCTTGAGCGAGGAGCGTTTCTCGGCGAAGGCCAGCGCGGCGCGGTCTTGGGGCAGGTAGAGGAGGGCAGGGATGCGGTACGTGAGCTCCCCCTCTCCCCGCTCGTACAGCGCCAGCATCTTCGGGGCTGTGTCGGCAACGGCCATCTGCAAAGGGAGGGGGGCGGTCACACACACTGCCGGTGAGACTCAAGAGGTCAAAAAACCGCTCCAGGCTTTAAACCCGTTTGAACACACGTCGCTGGGAAATATTGGAGGTCCAACCCGGGTGGCAAGGCCAGAGTGTGGCCACATACCTTTACAAATCTCACAGAAGCTAAGCAGGTTTAAGCCTGGATTGGGGTTGTCACCTGTCCTGTTTTTTTTTGTTTCAAGGATTGCCCTCTTGTTCAGGCAGCTGCCGTCCTGAGACATCTGTCAGCCTTCTCAAGTCAATGTGCGTGTACTTGTAGTTTTCCCTTCCTCCGATACTGTGACATTCTTTTTTCACGTGATACGTAGCCGGGGGTGTTTTTAACACGATTCGAGGGCAGTAAGAATAGAAAGAGAATCGTGATGCTAAAGCACTGCAAAACACTTTCTCTTTGCATTTAGCCACCTTCACCAGAAAAGGAAGCAGATGGGAACATTAGCCACACGTTGGCAACTGCGGGGGGTTGGCCAAGCAATTGTGATATAATCATTGACGAAAAATGTTCCCAGGATGCAACAACTGTAGCGACCTTGGCCACGCTACAGGAAAGAGGTTTGCACAAACCGATTCCAACACAATCCCGTAAACAGGTCAAAATCAGAATATTTAGTTATATTGCAAGGAGGAATGCGATGGACCGTGAGAGCTCTTTTTCACAGATGCCCAGCATGGGCGGGTCGGCAAACGATGCGAACCGCAGTGGACAGAAGTGTGTTGCGTGCACCCGCACCTCTGATCAGCACGGTCGGCCACGTGCTGGCGGCGGAAGAAGTTCAACATACACATTGTGATGAACGGTGATGAGTGATGAGCGGTGACGTATTCACCTCTTAAATTTTTTTTTAGATGAAACCGAAGTGGATTAATTACACTCGGTGGCAACCGATGCAGTCGTAGAAGCGCTCAGAAACCATGTCCTTGATACAGCAACAGAAAACCATGACACTTGAACAAATACAGGAGAGATTTGTGATGGGAGGTCGCAATATGCAAATGTGAAGAGGAGACAAGCAGACGTTCTCACCGAGGTGACTCAAGGCCACATGTATACTGTACAGAAGACATACCTGTCAACCCCTTATCAGTGCCCGACCTTATTACAGACCAATTCAGATCTTATTGGTCACCCCGTGCCCCTTATAAATGTCAACGTTCATCCTACAAAGTCCAATCATAAGAGAGAAACACAAACCAATAGGCAAAAACATGTTTTTGCCCGTATTGAAACGGCTGAACCTGAAAATTCAATTTCCCTGCCACAAGAATATGGGTACACCGTATGGTGGGGTTGACAGGTATGAGAAGATCTTTTCGAAACCTTGGATTTGTAGTACGGAGTTAGACTGATGGCCTAAATCTTAGTTGTCTTGTGGTTGTTGTTGTTGTTTGACTTGCATCCCACTGGGATTTTTGCACACAGCGTTGGTGTACGGTGCTATTTCAGGAGTATTTTGATGTTTTTTTTTCCCCTGGATTTTCTGTTTGGACAGTCAACACAATCACTTTAAGATGTTTTCTTGTTCATGTTTTTGTTTTTTGTTTGTTGCGGTTGCACCCGATTGAAGAGCCGAATGGCTCACAGGGCTATACCAAATAAATGAAACATTGGAAAAACTAAACTATGGAAACTATGCGCAAATAAAAGGATGAATGTGAATGGACAACGGGTTACCTGTGGACAAAGCATCCATGTATGTGCTATGAAGATTAGCACGGGCGGCTACGTACTGTGCGAAAGAAGCTCTACATACAGAGCCCGAAACGTCGTCTATTATACAGGGTGCTTTAAAATGTTTTAACACTTCTAAGAGTATGCGACGATACCACAAGAAATGTGGTGCTGCCTCCGGGCTCTGGAGACCACCTGGAGAAGATTCCAGGCCACGTGTTGACAACGATGGCGAACAAGTGGAGAGACTCTGACTTTTCGAAGCTATTAACAAACATTTCATATTCTTTGGGTCTTTCGGTAAAGTGACGTAGATAATACACCTTTTTTCTTATTTTATTGTATTATCTACGTGACTTTACCAAAAGACCCAAAGAATATGAATTCCTGCAGTCACGAAAGCTTTAATTCAAGATTTAACATACATTTGTTATCATGTTACGGTATAGTATTATCTGGGTTTTTTTCCAATTAAAAACGATAGTCCCATGTAATTGTTAACATTTTTTGAAGCACCCTGTATATTTTTCCTCCTTCAAGGCCACATGTACACACACATACATACACGTGGCGTTATAGACGAACATGTTAAGTTGTTGTCTGTGCACTACTGCCAACACACAGAAGCATCATCGGATAATGTGTTACAGCAGAGTGCTGTGTACCGTTGGCAGTTATTGAAGGTGGACCTGGATCACAATGATGGGAGCAAGAGGCGAACACGAGCAAGTTGGAGTGCTTATGGAATATTAAACAAATTTAATCTGATCATAAACAGCAGACGTATGAGCCTACTGGTAAAACCAAAATATGAATTCTACTTTTTTTTATTTTGCCAGGTATAAGGGCCACTGAGCTGTATAGCTCTTTTCTCAGAAGCGACTTGTCCATGAATGACATCGCAACGAAGTGGGTTATCATCGTGTGGACATTTATAGCAGTAATTCTAGATTTGAAGCTTTCGTGACTGCAATGATTCATACTCTTTGGTTTTTTCGGTAAAGTCACGTAGGTAAAACAAAATTATTTTATTTAAAATAAAATTATTTTATTTTACGTGACTTTACATATAGCAGTAGCCAAATACCCTAAACGCATGATGTTGATTATATATGTGGAGGGGAAAACAGGAGGACCTGGAGAAAAATCCACGCCAACCACGGGGAGAGAGAGAGACCGCAAACTCCAAAGCAAGCGTCAGGGTCGGAATTCAAACCCACGACCTCCTGCGTACCAGGCGAGGTATTTAACATCTCGCCTGCCATGGCGTGAATTGTAAACTTAGCGACAGACAGAGAAGTTGGAACAAAAACATCTGAAAGGGCCCAACTAATCATGACGCGCGCTTAGAATTGGACTGAGAAAACCGAACGAGAAGCTAAAGTTTGCATCAGAGAGAGTGAACACCCCACCCCCCGTCCCCACAATTTAGAGACATTCCACAGGCTTCGGGAAAGTCACCTGCAACAGAACACGGTAGACAAGACTCGTGACGGCAGTCGCAGGCAAAGTCCAGGGAACAGAGCCGGGGAGGACGACGCCGGAGAATGATCGACCACCCCCATCTCGTCACGCGGTACGACAGAGGGCGAAGATGATTCCACCGATGTCTTTCTCAGTCGGTCGGCCGGTCGGTCGGCGTGAGTGCACAAGAATAACCCCAGCATTACCTTACCTTCTTCCCCCAAGAAGGCACGTTTCTTTTTTTGTTTTGCACGGAGAGAGTGGCGTTTCCACTGTGGTCAGACCGCTCCTGCTGTCGCTTCGCGTAGAGACTTGTGACCCAACCCAACAGTGATGGCCTGCAATGCCCCTACGGGTATGAAAGCAGAGATAGCATCTGGGGGTCGGGGAAAGATTCGTGTCTTTTTGTTAGCCGCCAGGCTGACTTTGGGTGCGGCCCGCACGGGGCACTCACCAATCCGTTTCGAAGAGGAGGGCGTGGAATGCGCTTTGCGGTAAATATTGTTGACAAAGGTAAAACGTTCCCAAACGCGTATGCTGCACACGTGCTACAGTGACAAAGATTGCTTTCACACGCAATCGGGCACGGTACACGCGCATGCCCCCTTTTTTTTGTGCCAATTTACTGCTGGATGAGGAACACCTCGATTGGCGTGCGGGTTTTTGTGGGGGTGGGGGGGGTGACCGCACTTCATCAGACTGGTCAGTGAGGGTTTGCGGAAGGGAGGGTGGTTTGCATTCCAGTGATTCATGGGACAATCGAACCACCACCCCCAGACGTGTTATTACTCCGGCTAGTTGCCCAGGTGTGTCTCACGGAGTCTCACGATTGTTGCCAGGAGGTTCCTACCACGCTGGCTAGCACTCATTGTGGCTAGCACTCAGTCATTCCTCCATTCACTCAATCCGTTCATTCATCATTTAGCGCCATCAATTTCGCGTTCAGCAAAATTAACGGCACCACAGACTCGCCACCTCCCACTGCTTCCTCTCATCAATTTCATTCACCATTTACATTCGCATGTGTACCGTTCTTAATTCTATGTAAAGCGCCTTGGTTAAGGCGCTCTTCAATTTAAGAAGCGATCGAAGGGAGGGGGGAGGGCAACGATTATCGCCTTTTTCAAGTCCACTTTTCTTTTTAAAGTTGGACAACTTTGGACCTTGACGGCGGCACGCAAACGGCCTCGGTCTTTGCGCGACTGACGTCACAGGATCTTTAACGTCCGCTGTGAAGCAAGACGGCGCGTGGGTAATGTTGAAGACACCCGGCAGTGTTAACCGGGGCAGTCCGCCCGTTCCAAACCGCGGATTTTCAAGTAAACAAACATACAAAAAAAATCGGTCGAAGCGGTACGACTGGGCGCGCGTCACCGATCCCTTGAAATATGCGTTTAGACTATTTTGCTGCTAAGTCCAAATGAAAAGCCACTTTCATCTTCTTTGGTTCTTTCGGTAAAGTCACGCAGAATGAGAATAAAATAATGATAAAATAACACGATAAAATTCTCACGACGTTTCGGCCACAACACAAGTGGCCTTCTTCAAGGCCACTTGAAGCTCTGTCGTCCCGACAGGTTTGTTCCTTTCACCTGAAGGCCGCTTGTGTTGTGGCCGAAACGTCGTGAGAATTTTATTGTGTTGTTATATTTTATTAATTTATTATTTTATTCTCATTCTACGTGACTTTACCGAAAGAACCAAAGAAGATGAATCCTTGCAGTCACGAAAGCTTTAAATCGAAAAAAGCCACTTTGTTGAGCTATCATTTGCGGTCAGGTCGCTTTTTGAAAGTCAATAGCTTGTTAGGGTCGCCGGCCC